GCCGAAAACTTCAATATAATTATTTGAATTAAATTGAGTTAAAATAAGCTCTGTTCCATCTTCAAGCGAATTTTTTTTTTTGAATAACGTATTTTGAAATTTATGTGTTTTAAAATTGGAATCAAAATTTCCATGGTAACAGCTAGGGAGAATTTTTTAAAATATATATATATATATATATATATATATATATATATATATATATATATATATATATTCGACTCTCCTGTCGAATTCGACATATGAGGGGGCATACAGATCAATTCCTAGGAAACTGACAGCCCGACGCCTTCACATGAAATTTGATTATAGTGGTGAAGGTTTTGTGCAGAACCACCCACACTTTTTGAAGGGCTGAATACATAGATTTGGTGCATACAAACAGGTAGGTTTTGAATTCAGAGTTGTCCTTATCCTAGACCAGTAACCATCGAGTCTGTCTTGCTATTTACCCATAGCTGGAAGGAGAAGAAGAGGATTCACACCTTTCCCAAGGGTATTAGCACATAAGTAAATGTAATGGATTCGAGTGGAATTCGAATTCGAACTCGGCTCTCCGATTTTTCAATCTAAATCTCTATCCGTTGCACCGTACTATTTTTTTTGCCCGTTCATTACAATTATTTGGAGGTTTGTGAGATTTTTTTTAACCTCCTCACAAGTAGGACTTTTGAATTTTTAAAGTTTTAATCGTCTAATATTTACAATTAATATATATTTATTTTATTCGAGCTGTTTAATTTTTAATTGTTTTTTTTTCCACTCCTTAATATTAATACTGAATATTCAAGAGAGTTTTCTCCTACCAATTTGGCAACGTTCCTTTTTTGAAAAAAGTGTTGGCTGAAAAAATGACTTCTAAATTGTTTAAAGGTATTTCCTTATTCTGGATATACATCATTATTTGTGTGAATATATATATATATATATATATATATATATATATATATATATATATATATATATAATTGGTATATACGGAATGAATTCGAATAACCAACAATTACTATTCTTAAAAGAGTGCTCAATACAAAGTAGAACAGATATATACATGTATTGTCGGATGACCGGATATTGTAGCTTCTGTTCTAACGTAATTTCAACGATGAAATAAATTGAATAACATATATATATATTTTCTTTTCTCCTCAGTAATTTTATAGTTTTTAAACTTAATAGTGATTAAATTTGGATTTTAAAATTGGCAGTTTTTAATTTTAATATCAAATGTAATCATAAAATTTAATAATTATTGGTTAGAATAAATTCTTTTTTAATATTACCCGTATTTTAAAGATCCGAATAGCTATTATAACATGATTTCGTTGTCAAGCTTTTGAATCTTCCTATACTTGGGTTTTGATTGGTCATTCTAGCTTTTGTAACAATGTTTCCCCCTAGTGTAGGATCGTTAATTAATCTGAAACTTTTAAAACCATTTATTTTATTTTCAAAATCATCACTTGATAAGACACAGAGTGTGTTGAAACAAAATGGCTATTTTTGTAGTGATTTTATAACATGTTTATGTTATAAATTTTTTATAAAAAATAATTATATATATATATATATATATATATATATATATATATATATAACCATTCCCTTATGCATGTTTCATTAAGTAAGGTGGAAATTATTTTGTGTTTGATTTTTTGTAGGGTCCATACAATTTTGGTCTCTTTTCATTTTGTTTAAAACTATGCTTCAAGGAAAATTGAATAAAAAACTAGCAAAATATATTTTGCCGGCCATACACACACTTATACACACCCTCATATATATATATATATATATATATATGTCTTTATATATATATATTTATATGTATAAAGACATATATATATCTTGGTGTAAATGATAAAGTTATAATCTCCATTCGCGTCTCCCGTTCTGTTTCATGCCTAGAGATTTTCACCGATAGTAAATTGATATAAGCCAAGCCGCCCGACCTCATTGTTCCTGTTCTATAAAAAATTGAACGGTATAGACCCCTGTTGGCAATATTTGAATTTCCGTTCCATGCGTCACGCTCAGATAATGATGACAGATGATGACAAATGCAACGATCGGTTGTTGCATTCGTTTCTGTGCACATTAGGAATCGTATAATAACTAGGCCTGAGCAAAAAATGAATAAATAGAAATAAAAGTGAAAATAAAATAAGATAAAAAAAGCGATCGGGAAAAAAAAATCAATCCTATTTGCGAAAGCTTGCACAATGGTCCAGAACAATCGTCGTATAAATAAAGATGAATAATTTTTCACACTCTCGCTTGGCCAGAATCAAGAGAAAGGACGCTACATTCCGAGACTTATAGAAATGTTGAGAGAGTGAAGAGTGAGAGACCGCAATACATATGCACACAGATATATAATGAATCATTCAGATCGGGTAGACTTTGTTCTGTCGATTACTGGAGATTAGCATGCCATGACGCGGGACAAAAGTATATCAAATTGCTTTAACTCACACTCAAAAAAAAAACAGGCTTACCTCCATATCACGTATAATCACCGGTTCCCGTATGATCACCGAAGTTAAGCAACGGGGAGCCTGTTCACTACCTTGATAGATGAACGCTTGGGAATATCGGATGTGCGGGTAGCTTACAAAGGTGCATGTATATCGCGTTGAAACACCGGTTCCCGTAAGATCACCGAAGTTAAGCAACATGTAGCCTTTTCAGTACCTTGATAAGTGAACACTTGTGAATACCGGGTGGTGTAACTTGTATCCGCGGGTAGCTTAATGGGTTTCGGGTATATCGCGTTGAAACACCGGTCCCCGTAAGATCCCCGAAGTTAAGCAACATGTAGCCTTTTCAGTACCTTGATAAGTGAACACTTGTGAATACCGGGTGGTGTAACTTGGATCCGCGGGTAGCTTAATGGGCTTCGGGTATATCGCGTTGAAACACCGGTTCCCGTAAGATCACCGAAGTTAAGCAACATGTAGCCTGTTCAGTACCTTGATAAGTGACCACTTGGGAATACCGGGTGGTGTAACTTGGATCCGCGGGTAGCTTAATGGGCTTCGGGTATATCGCGTCTAAACATCGGTTCCCGTAAGATGACCAAACTTAAGCAACATGTTGCCTGTTTAGTACCTTGATAAGTGACCACTTGGGAATACCGTGTGGTGTAACTTGGATCCGCGGGTAGCTTAATGGGCTTCGTGTATATCGCGTTGAAACACCGGTTCCCGTAAGATCACCGAAGTTAAGCAACATGTAGCCTGTTCAGTACCTTGATAAGTGACCACTTGGGAATACCAGGTGGTGTAACTTGGATCCTCGGGTAGCTTAATAGGCGTCGGGTATATCGCGTCTAAACACCGGTTTTCGTAAGATTACCGAAATTAAGCAACGTGGAGCCTGTTCAGTAAATATATTGGCAACCCATTAGGAATGACGGGTGTTGCAAGATTGGATATGCGGGTGGCATAATGGGCTTACGTTGAAACACAGGTTACTGTAGGATCACCGAAGTTAAGCAACATCGAACCTGGTCAGTACCTATATGGGAATATAGGGTGCTGTTATATTGGATTTACGGGTGGTATAATGGACAATGGCTCAGAATTATTCATCGGAAAGCTGAGTTTCATTTCTCGCTGGATTTGTTATATTCATTCGGTAAATGTATAAATGAACATCTTCTTCCTCAGCCATTACATGTATACACACCTGTATCACTAAAATTACATTATCTGCTCGTCTTGAAAAGACAACTGGATGGAACAAATACAAATCTACTTAGAAAAATCCAGAACATCAGTTAGATATCCTATGCCACGCGTAATACGATTTACGGAGAACTGAGATCAATCTGTTTTAAGATCGCACAAAAGCGATTAGTTTGCCGGCCACTGCCACCGAGTGGACACCTGAATCGTCTCATCCTTACTACTTGTCTACTCACGAAAATTGACTTTCCCAGACACCATAGGACGGGATTTTGGGTTGGATTTTGGGGATCTGGGGAGAGCAATACAGGGCCGAACAGTGGGAAACGGGATTGTCAATGAATTTCCTACCAACCATAGGAAGGTTGAATGATGATGATGATGATGATGATGATGATCATGATGATCATCATCATCATCATCATCATCATCATCATCATCATCATCATCATCATCATAATTTTTATTATTATCATCATCATCATCATCATTACTAGAACCATTAATATCTAAAATATTGTATACAAATTATTTAGTCATTAAATCACCCATAGAGCAATATCCATCGCTAACTACTCTCTGCTTGATTAATCTATTCTCTTCCCGCTCGTTATTACTGATTATGTTCCTAATGTTTCTACACATGTAACCCCTAGTGTCTTAGTGGCTTTATTACCTTGCAGGGGGTGATATCGATTATAAAATAGAAGCAAAACAAACTCATTACATATGAGTGGTTGACCCAGAAAAACGAATGTCATATTATATCAGCGGTTTTGATAAATGAGTTGTGATTTGTTTCCGTCAGGATCACTATATAGGGCAAGTGAATTTATGAATAATATTGGTTTTGAATAGTTTAGTGTCGCTGCAGATTTGTTGTTGCTTATCATAATGTTGTTTTTTTTCCCAATATTTATAGTACATACTATATTTGATATAAGGCCCTCCAATTGGTTGCTGACTGGGGCAAGAAATAGCTGGTTAACTTTAATGTCTCAAAAACAAAACTGCTCTTTTTTATCCACCAGAGGGAACCCTCTTTGCCTCCCATTAGAATGACAGATGCTCAACTCCACGAGAGAACCTCACTGCGACTGCTTGGTCTCACACTATCAGCTGACTTTAGATGAAACAAATGCATTGAATCAATAGCTTCATCTTCAGCAAGGATAGTTGGTTCTCTGTGTTGCGCCAGAAAATTATTCTCTCTCGAGTTCATCCTTCAAATCTATAAATCAACCATTCACCCTTGCATGGAATACTGATGCCATATATGGTCTGAAGACCCCGCTGTTTGTCTTAATGTCTTCGACAAAATACAGAGAAGGATATGCAACGTGATTGACCCTGACCTGGCATCTCATTTACAGTCGCTCTCTCTCTCAGACGTGCCGTCGCATTTCTTTGACACTTCTACAAATACTTTCGCGGTAACTGCTCCGATGAGCTATTTTCGCTGGTTCCCCAATTGAATGCTACTAGGTCGGTATCACGATCCCAGCCTTTCACTGTCGAAATTGCTAAATGTCGCCGTCTCTTCAATTCGAGTATATTCATGCCTCGCACTTCCTGTCTGTAGAACGCCCTTCCTATTAGTTGCTTCCCGGACAGCTATAACCTCCAACTATTGAAAGGCAATGTCAATCGACATCTCTAGAGAACTCGATCTGGATACCCGTCCTTTACATCTTTTCTATTGTCACGCCTCTTTACGCTTGCTCCAACTCTATTGGAAAAATTTTGAACAATATTTCTTTCAGTGAATTTGTCTGCTTTTAATGAGAATGCACATACTTTCAATGATATTTGTAGTGTATACATATATATATATATATATATATATATATATATATATATATATATATATATATATGTTAAAAATGGACGAGGTCCGACAATTTATTTATTAAAGACATTTTTATTTTATGTTTAACGTTAAACATAAAATAAAAATGTCTTTTTAAATAAATAAATAAATTGTCGGACCTCGTCCATAACATATGACGTCATTTGTTTATATTCGATACGCCAGAGCAGTTATAGATTATAGAAGATTGTAGTTTATAACAGTAAATTCGATAATATGGCCGAGTGGTTAAGGCACGTCAGCGTATATGACGGTTCCGTATAGGATGCAGGTTCGAATCCTGTCTATGAACGAATATTTTCTATGAAAATTTCTCAGACATTCATAAATGTTATTTAATACTGTTTATCATAGCATTTGCTTAAATACTTGTATCTATAAAATAACAACGTTAAACATAAAATAAAAATGTCTTTAATAAATATATATAGTATATATATATATATAAATATATATATATATATAAAAGAAATATATATATATAATATATATATATATATATATATATATATATATATATATAAAAGAATATATATACATATATATATAAAGAATATATATATATATATTTTTTTTTAAAAATATAATTCCATCCTGACACAGAAATTTATGTATTACATAACTGAATTCAAGAAAGAAATTCGGATTACTAACACAAAAACAGAGAATGTCTCATATCGAGAATATTTAACATTGAACATAAGGAAAAAATTAATTATTTTTAATAATATGTGGAAATCTCCGCTTTTACCTGAAGATGGTCACGAGACTAGAAACACGTCTAGTACAATTATGTAAAACAAAGCATAATATTTTTTTCGAAATAAATCCACATTACAACCAAAAATGTTTGCGGCACCTCTTTTCTCTTCTTTTAATATACATACTTTTCTCTCGTTGGAACCACTACAACCACTTTTATATATATATATATATATATATATATATATATATATATATATATATATATATATATATATATATATATATATAAGTTTTTTGTGGTACAGAATTTAAGAATAGATAGGAAAAGACAATATTTATAAGGCATTTTTAAAAGCAAAGGCTGAGACTTCGGTATTCAGGAAGGCCACTTTTTCAGGACTTTATACGCGTTGGGACTCTTTTTGTCCCAGACAAAATTTGATGAAGGCCCTTATTCACAGGGCACTTAAGTTATGTTCTGAGGATCTTCTCTACGGTGAAATTGATATTGTTAGAAAGACACTATTAAAAAACGGATATCCATTGGATGTTTTAGACTCCGTTATTCAAGACGTCATCAGTAAATTCTATAGGGTGAAGCCGCAATTACCTGATAAATGCCCAGTTTATTTACGTCTTCCCTATATTAGTACAGAGGGTGAGAGTTTATCGAAACGTATTTCACGTTTAATCAATAGTTGTTATTTTTCGGTGAATGTTAGGGTAATATTTGTTACCCGTCCTGCTTTCTCTTCCATTCCCCCTCCCCATCATGTTAATTCAGTGATTTACCAATACAAGTGTAGTTGTGGACACGACTACATAGGGAGGACGTCTCAGCGTTTGGATTCGAGAATAAAACAGCATTTGCCTACCAGGATTTTGAATCCGTCCTCCAGGAATAGCCAATTGACTAACAGTTCTGGTTCTGAACATTTAATAAATAGAAGGAAATGTGTGGAAAATTGTAGTGGTGACCGATTTATGATTTTGTTTAGGTCCCACTCCACATTTCACCTCAAGTTTCTAGAGTCCTTGTATATCAGATCCCGTGAGCCTTCCCTTTGTAAACAGAGGGAATGCTTGCTGGGTCTGAATATTATTGGACTCTAGATTCTTGAAATTCATAATCATCCCACCATTCGATTCCATTCGTTAATTAAAAATTAATTTACACGCTTTTTAACTTCCCAGAAGAAATAAACTTGATAAGTCCTGGCACGAAACCGGTTGTTTTTATTTTAGCCTTTGCTTTTAAAAATGCCTTATAAATATTGTCTATTATATATATATATATATATATATATATATATATATATATATATATATATATATATGTGTGTGTGTGTGTGTGTGTTTGGGTGTCTGTGTGTGTGTCTCTGCGTGCGTTTATAATATGTTATAATTTTGAGCAAAATTGTTCGTGATCGAGCATCGATGTTATGTATATATAAAAGTGCGGTAATAGGAATGAGCGGTGCCTTTTTGGGGATTAACATTAGACCGCTATATGTAATATTTCATAACCTGTAACTCCTTTTAGTTTAGTGACTGCACTACCTTGAATGGACTGATACCTATTATAAAATATATATATATATATATA